AGTGGTGCCCACTGTGTGAATTAGTGATAGGAGACACTGAAGCCTCTTTGCTCTTGACCTATACTCTCTCCCTAGATGACTGTTAACTTGTGTGTACTTTTATATTTTTAAAATGAAATCATTTGGTTTTTTTTTTAATAGCCAAGAAGAATTTTCAGAGTTATGTAAGTCAGGGCATGTAACTCGGGCCTCTCGTCGTAACAAGCTTTCAAGGTTGGCCATGTAATGGGACTATAATTCTGCCTCATTATGCAGAAAACATTAGTCATTTCATAATGCTGGGGGTTTTTTCAGCAGGTATATTTAGCTTTGTCATACTATACCATTTAGTCTCTGTGTATATAAGAACAACAATGAGGTGATTGCTCACCCCACCTTTTTTAAAGGTTGTTGAGCTCTATACTTAGCTGTATTTTTACCAGTGTTTTCAACTGGAAGGTGGTTGGGAGTCTTCACAAACTATTTTATCTGAAAAATGTGTGTGAATCGTCTGAAATTTTTATCTTGTAGAATGTTTTAAAATACAAGTTTTTTAAAACTACATAATAGGTGTAACTAACTTTTGTGAAGGTTATTTGCAGAGAAATTGCTTTATGTATTTCATATGGGGCATTACTTCTACTTTAAGATCTCTTATTGTCAAGCCAGCTAGTACATGTGATTTCTGTCTGCTTTATTGGCAGACCTTGAGCTTCAATTGCTTTTTTTTCTCCTTTGCAATTACAGTGCAATGTAGTATTAAAAAAAAAAAAGGCAACCCACTCCACCAAAACCCCCACCCAACTAACCCCAAACCCCAGCACTTTTCTAGTTTATTTTTTAATTGTCCTGAGGATGCTTGTCCCTTCAGTGCAATTGCAAGTAGTCTGTAGAGAATCTTTTAGTCACTACTGTGAGCTAAAGATTTGCCTATTTTGGATGTTACTTGTGGCAACAAGACTTAGTTCATTTTACCTGTGATTAGTGTTTCCCTGAAGTAGTGCTTGCCTTGCTCTGGTGTTTTTGGGTGTTTGAACAGTCCTTTGGTGAAGTGATGCTGGAGTTGTCCACGTGGTGAACAGGAATGGGTTTTTCCTTAGGAAACTGCTTTCTGGGTAAGGCTGATTTCGAGCTGCAGCACCTTGCTAGCTGGCATATTTCAGTTAAATTGATTAAAATACAAATGTGTTTCAGCAAAATTTATGTAGTACGCCAGAAATGAGTGAATGTTGATTCTTTTAATGTGAATAAGATCATGAGCTCCTTGCTCATTAGCTGTTTTTTCTCTTTGTACTTGAGCAAATCTTTCTTTTAGGAAATCTTTATTTTTGATTTTGACACATCTTACCCTGGCCCAGGAAAAATACCAGACTTCAGTTGTATCTTGCTGAAACTTATTTTGACTTTTTTGGACAAGCGTTTCCTTCAGTACAGTGGTCACTGTTCAGACAATGAGAAGGACACTTTCCGTCACTGAAACAAGCTGGCTTTACATCTGCTCCTCAGAACAGCATTGTGCAGATGGCCTGAAGTTGGGCCTCTTTGTTCTTGCAGATCATTATTTGTTGCATCAATTGTTTGTGCCATGTGTTTATCCTGGCATAGCTGTTGACAGAGCTGCTGTTGTGCAGCAGTGCAGTGCACAGCGCGTCCATTCACGGGGTCAATCCCTGCTGTCACTCGCCTGGTGAAAGAGCTGCCCCTGTTCTTTAGCTGGTGGCAGAGTGGTTCTGGTCCCAGGTACTGAGATGTTTTCAGTAGTGTTGGTCACGTTAACGGCAGTGTTGCTGGTACCCAGATCTCTGTGGGCTCAGAACAGAGAGCCCCTCAGCAGGAAAATAGAGTTTAAGGAGAAGACAGGGCAGATGGTGCTGATCGGGCACAGGGTGTGACCAGCATTGGTTTGTTAAGGGCTGGACCTTTCTATTTCAGGGTAGGTTCAGGCTGGATATTAGGAAAAATTTTTTCACTGAAAGGGTTCTCAGCCATTGGAATGGGCTGCCCAGGGCGATGGTTTAGTGATGATGCTCCTTGTTTGTTGTGTGGGTGTCTATTTTTGTCAGTTAGGTTGGCGGTTGGACAAGATGATCTTTAAGGTCCCTTCCAACCTAGAAGATTCTGTGATTCTGTGATTTACTTACCCCTCTATTTTCCCACACTTGTCCTTCCTAAACCACATTGGTTCCTCCCTTTCCCCTTCCTTAAGGCCCCATAGCAACTCTTAATGTCCCGAGTTGTTCTCCTTGTACCTCATAGTAGATATTCAAGCCCCATATGCAGTAACAGCCCTCAGTCTTCAAGGTGCTGTGTTGAGCCTTTCATTTACACACTGTGATGGGTCTCACACTGGCCGTGGGGCTGATGGCTTTCCTGGGACAGCCCAGTTCTCCTGCCCAATGCTGGTCCTCACTGTGCCTTTGCACGGGAAGATGAGCCCCTAATGCATCACCTAAACATTTTTCACCTTTTTAAGCATATTGGATGTAAGAATTTTTTCCATACGTCATGGAGAGTCACAGGAGAAATGTACCTTGAGAGCTTTTTGTGGACTTGCTCGCTCACTGTGTTGTGTCTTAACAATCCAAGTTAAAGTATTGAAAAAATTTCAGTGCCAACAGCACTTCACCTCCCCTCTCCCTCTGCCCTTATGGCGGAAAGAAAAGAACATTTTGGTGAGATGCTGTCAAACCATAAGTATTAACTGTGTCCAAGAGTAAGATTCTTTACTGAGCAATGTGAACTGAGAGCTGGATATTATAATATCTCTTGAAATTGCTTTCCCTAAGTCACTGGGCTTTAATTTTTGCTTGATTTCTGCTCTAAGTCAAAAATGTGTTGGGCAGCCCTCGGTCTGTTTTAACATTCAAAATTTTTATTGTTTACCAGTGTTCCTTTTTAAAAACAATGCCTGTATTTTTAATATAACAGTATTAAGTACGGCTATCCAAATTAAACCAAACAGTTAGCTTGCCCATAATTGGCTAAATAAACATGGGTGCCTCTTTTATTTTTTCCTGCTGCAGAATTAGCTGGTGAGATGTTTGTTTCAAACATGTAGCTTGCTGTTGTCGAAGTTTTCAGCAGGTGCAAAAATGAAGTGCAGCAAATGTTGCTGCAAAAACCCAAGTCTTTCTTCGACTTCAGCAGATGTAGAGTGGGAAGAGTCAAGTAAATGAGAAATCGGTGTGATGAAATGAAATTTATGCCACATTTCAAGTTTGACATCATTGGTTTGGGTCTGAAGTGAAAACAAATGAAAACAGCAAACATAAAGTGAAAACTATTGCCCCAAGGTGTGGGAATGTTCTTGAGTTATCTTAGTAAAGATTTGTGGGGTTCTTTTTTGGTTGGCTTGTTTAGAGGGAGGGATTCTAAAGTCTTCCTCAGGCTTTTCTTCCTCCTTCTATTGCCTTCTACACTTAGCCCACTTGTTTTCATGAATAACAAAAAGATACTCCTACCATAGAACATTAACTCTTCCTCAATTTTTTTCTGAAATTTCTTTTTTTCTGCATATTAATGGCATTAAAACATGTGGTTCATGCGGTGCTGGATACAGCCTCTTTGACTATTGACTCTGGTTGCCTGCAATACACTTGAATGCTGATTTGAGAGGGGACACACACACAGTGATGGATGAGCTGCTTAAGAACCACCTTTACATTTCCATCTGTCTAGTTTCTAGAAAAGCATCCCAATTTGGTTTAATAAATACAGGAAATAAGATCAGTTATATGTAAACTATCTAAGTAAAAAGGATAAATGAAGCTATTGGGATTGGCTTTTTTTTTGGTGGGTTTTCACAACTGTTTTGTGATACGTACTAAATGTTGTGGCTACACGACACCTGCAACTTAATACAGAGTCTGAATTTGTAAATATTTTGCAATGTTTTAAAATCGCTATTATTTGTGATTATCTTCTGATCTAATGGGTAGGCAGTCTACACGTCAGAACTTGCCCAAGCTTGTCCTGCAGGCCTGTGGGAAAATCCTTAAAGGATTGTGTCAAAGATACAACACTGAAGCTTAAAAATAGACATTCAGTCCTCAAAAGGAATTTGCTACTCTTCCAAATTTGTTACTCACTGAGTCATGCTCTTCTACACAAATGCAGTGACCTCATCTTTACTGGATAGAGTTGAGGCTGTTCAAATAATTTGCATTAATTTCATCTCCATTGGATGCCAAAAGATGTGAATGCATTTACCTGTATTCATGCACACTTTTTTTTTTAAACCCAGCAAGTTATTGCTCAGAACATAGTACGTTTGTCATTAAAACAGGTGAAACTACTGTAGATAGAGAATTGTGCCTACCTGTACTTTTAAATTAAGGTGTAAATGTCAGGAATGAAGCAGTTCAGTGTAAAGTAGCTCTAAACTAAGCAAGTTCAATCTTTTTTAAGGCTTAACAGATAAGCCTTTTATTTCAAACTTTTATTTGCTGTAGCTCTGCTTGCATATATAAAATATAATAATCTGCGTAAATAGGTTTACAGTTTACTTATCATATGTTGCCTTTTTTGTGATGACTAAAAATGATTAAAAATAGCACTCGGGACTTTGGGTGGATTATGTAGGTTGTCAGCCATATAATTTTGATATCTCTTAATTGTTGATTTTGTGCCTGAAAGCAATTCATGGTATAAAACCAGATATTAATTTCTCAAAGTTCAGTACAGCCCACTCGCTCTGTGATGTTTTAAACTTCTGGTCAGCCTGAATAAGTGTGTTTTGTACTCTAATTCCACAGTTTGAACTGTCAGAAGAAAATCAATAAGTGAGATTTGTTCAGATAATCTATAAAAACTTATAACTGAGTTTTTAAAAATTGTTGATCAGGTTTTAGATATGACTGATGAAATTATGTTCCTGTAATGCCTTATTTTATTATGGTGGCAATAACTTTTTTTCAGATTATCCCCAAATCTGTTTGATTCTGTTAATCTCTGTTTGGAAGTCATTGTCTAGAGCTGTACATTAAAGAACTTGATGTTTTGGTTTTCTTGTGTGCTTTTAGGTGAGTTGTGTAACCTCATAACGCTGGATGTAGCGCACAATCAGCTTGAACATCTTCCAGAAGAGATTGGAAGCTGCACGCAGATCACCAACCTTGACTTGCAGCACAATGAGCTCTTGGACCTGCCAGAAACTATAGGTACGTGAAGAGGCTGGAGAAGAGAAAATAAATTGCTATTTCAAAATATTCAGTAAGAGGAACAAATTTAAGAATGAGTATTGGGTTGGTGGCTGTGGAATGACTGGTGTTCAGCTCAAGGCAGCTTCGCACTTGAGATCAAAAGCAAGGTGTGCATGTTGCCTTAAATGTAGTTTCTAGCTTTCTGAATGATGTTATTAAATCTAACGGTGCTGCCAGGTGCAGCATTGTCTAGGAATGAGAGCTATAAGGGAAAAAATCCATCAATTCTGACTCTGATGTAAGCTGTTCTGTGGTTATAAATAAATATCTATAGCTTGGCTGTTCATTCTGTAATGAAATAGAGCATATAAAGGAACAAAAGGCTAAAAGACTTAGTTGAAGAGTAATACTTTGGCAGATAGTTTTAACTAATGTCTTTGGCTAAAGAAAAATAGAACTAAAAAGATAAATGTTTGAAATGAATTCTGTATATATTATGCTTTTCAATAGAACAATTGAAAAAAAACCTTTCAAGTCCACAAAGTCCATGTTCTAATGGAATAAAATGCAACTCAGATTAGAAATAAGACTGAAATAAGCACTGTCCTCGTCGGTTTCAGAATATAATATAGGATGAAACAACAAAATATGACTTTTTCTAGTTAATTAAATCAGTTTTTAACAGATGGCAGAGAAAGATGCATGCTGTGATTTAAAAAGACAAAAAACAAGGCCATCATGATTTTAAGCTCTTATTCATCACCAGAACATGCTCAGAAGAATGAACATTATCACTTAAACAATATTTATACTGAACATTTCGTTAATGTACTTTAACACATAGTAAAGGGAATGAGCAGAAGAGTGAGGAACCACTTAACGACACTCCAGCTTTTCTTCTGGTGTTAAATTGTTGAGTGTAAAGCTACTGTGGCTTTTTGTTTGGAAAGTTTGACCTGAACAGAGTTTATGGTGATGAAGTATCCACTGGAGTTAAACTTCCTTCCTGGATTGATGATATTTTTAAATCCTGGGGATCCCGTTCCATCTGGAATTTGCATCTAACTTACACAATTCATAAGCACAGCCTTTATTTTTGTAGCTATTTTGTAAATCTGATTGAAAGTTGTTTTAAATAAAATTGATGTGTGGTGTACCTGTCATATTTAGGAATTGAGTTCTCTGGATAAACTGCTAATTATGGGAGAGATCTCTAAGCAAGTGTGAGATTTCCATTGTCAGGGCTTATAAACCACTACTGTTGATTATACTGCAGGAAAATATTACAATATATTGAGTTGTTCAGTGACTGGCAGTCACTGAGCTTCTCAGAGAACCACAAAAATCTTGCTTATAATAAGCTACAAGACTGTGTGTACTGGGAAAGGTCTTTGGGTAGGAGAGGCACAGAGTTACTTGGGCCAGCAAGTCATTTCTGATAGACTGGGAATTGCTGACTCTGCAATCAAGAGAGTTAGGACTCACCTATTTCTTCAGAAAGTTATTGTAAGCTTAGGCGGTTTGTACTGAGTCAGGTTCATACCTGGTTGGACTGGATTTCTGCCTGTTTTCTTTGGTTTGTTTTTCCCTTGCAGTGTCTTTACAGTTTGGTGTTTTTTTTTTTTCTGAAGTTACTTATTTTTAAATGTATATGGCTGTCTCTCTACGTGCTTATCTGAGCTGAATATCAATGCTGTATAGCTCAACAAACCACCAAAGACAGATGAATAATGGTACGAGGCAGCACTGCGCCGTCGTGTCTTTAACCTTACACTGGTTCAGGTTTTGCTCCACTGGAAAAATACCTATTGTTTGTATTGACCGACCAGTAGTAGCTGAGCATTTCTCTTCAGACTAAAAACTTAAAATCAGAAATCAATATTTATGCCACATGTGATTTGCAAACAGCCAGAACCGAACACTGAAGGGGAAAATTTTTAAACTCCAGCGTAAATGATAATGATCAACCTACATTTATGCATGTTACAGACGAGGCAGCCGTAGCCAGTTCAGCAACATCGGCTTTATTTCTTAGTCATCGCAGTTTTGGTTCAACATTAAAGCAAGTTGTGGCTTGATCTTTTTAGATTACAGCTTGCTTTGTGGTTAGGATTGTTCAGCGAGAGACTCTGAGCACCCAGAGGAGCCCATGGTGCGTGGTGGGGCTGTGGGACAGCCCTTCCAGCCTCCCCATCCCTTCTCCTGCTGGTGGGCATCTACCTGGAGTTTGGCACAACTGCCTCCTCCTGCAACGTGTACACGCTGCCAGGTTTCACTATACTTAATAGCACTTATATATTAATGTTTCCCCAGTTCAGTCAAACTGGGGTGGGGGTCACTGGTACAAGAAAGCCCAAGCGCATTTGCTCATTATAAATATTTAATGTACTCTGAGCCTCCTGTTATGGAACAGACTTTCCATTACTGCCAGGTCTGTCCTCTCCTCCCCCACCGACACCCTTTTAATGGAGGCCTGGGTTTTTTTTTTTTGTTCTTCTTGAGAAGGATGTTTTTGTCAAGCTGCTTCGAAAAAACAAACAGCCCCCTTCCTTTTCTGTTTCTTCCTCCCCTCAAAAAGGACTCCTGCCCTCCTTCCCCCCCCCCCCCC